GCGTCCCTTCTGAAATATTGAAACTTTACTTTCTAATGGTGTCACTTTTAAGATAAAGGAAAAATTGATCACTTTACCCTCCAAAATTACAATTCAATCACCTTTTTTCTATGGTGACAAATGTTTTCTCTGAAATTTCTCTCTTCAAGAGTCTAATATTTCAGTCTGATAAATGGGCAGAATAACTTAGAGCATTATTCTGCTAGGAGGCAATGATGCCACCTTGTGGCTATGAGTTTCTATAGAAGAATATCTTGTGGAAGGATAGAAACCTACTCCTGAAGGGGAAGTTCCTTTTTTAAAATTATGTTGTACTCCAGGAATAGTGTTAGAGTAACTGTTTATCTCTTCTGAAGTGATACCTAGCAAATAATCTGGGTCCCTGTGCTAGATATCATACAAATACATGACAGAAACAAGCTGTTCTGCCTCAAACTACTCGCAACCTTAGATAGTAACTTGTTGTATTTTAAATGTCTGAGATTAGACCTGGCTATCTGTGCAACCAGGTGGGAGATCTTCTGTATCACTTCCACCGTGTCAGTTTTGTTCTGTGTAAATATTTCCTGTTCAGGGATATGTGGGAGTCCATTACCTATGTATAATACAAACTCTTGATATTACCAAGAGCTGTAAATTTCTCATTTGTGAAGATCATAACATAGGTCTTTGCATTTTGCATGCTTGCAAGACACTTGCATGCTAGTTATTACAGAAGCACAATTGTATCTGGTGATGGCCTCATTTAGACTTTCCTGTGATCACTCTGTTTTTAAGAGGGCAAATCTTTCTCTTTTGCCAGTGCCAAAAGCTAAAGAGATGGACCGCAGGCTGGGCAACCTGGTGGAGGAGTTCAAGCAGCTGGTTTATCCCCCTGACTACAATCCTGATGGGAAGGCTGTAAAGCGAAAGCAAGGTGAGTAATGACAGTGCAGACATGCAACATGGTGTCTGTGTTCTTTGTTTAGAGGCCTCTGCGTTTTCAGTTTGTCTCGTAGTTTAAAGTTGCTTGTGCAATAACTCTTTACTCATCTCCACAACAAAGTGGACTTATATCCAGCGGTGATTCTTAAAGGATATTGTGGTATCCAGCTAGAGAGCTGCTGGAATAAGAAACTGCATAGTGGAAAAACAGAGAACTATAGGAAGCAATGTGGGTAAATTACTGCAAAATTATTATTTTTATCGTTATTAATAACTTTGGGTTTTTTTACAACAGAGTAGTAAAATTGTTCACGCTTTCAGTTTGTTCTTGGTGAGGAAGCAGACTTTTATGCATGGTCTGTTTAGCAAGTCCAAGATAGGCATCCTTAGGGCTAAATGCTGAAGTACATGTGTAATTTGGGAGTCTATGAAACTCTGCATAAAGTGGGAGTTAGCTGAATTCCCCATGGAATAGTTGAATTCTCCTGTCTAGATGAGAATCCCTTAAAAGTTTCATTTGGGGGTGATCTTTCCATCAGAACACAAAGTTTCATACTTGAGTTTGAGATCGCTCATATCAATGAAATATATTACATGAGTTACATAGTGAGTGACACCTACTTCATAAAATAGGGAAACTAGGTCTGTGAGTGTGTAGGTAGCTGTTAAAGTACCATGTGCTAACGGCCATTAACTGTGTTATATATGAGAAACATTGATGTCTTTCTGTTAAGGAACTTTTTTAAATCTTGATGATCTAAAATTTATCTTTCTAGCTTCTGATGCTCAAACTGAGAAGAGGCCGAAGGTAGAAGTCTCAGAAGATAAGCTGCGGAGTCATGTACAGAAGGGCACTCTCGGCAAGCTCACTGTACCCGTTCTGAAGGACGCATGCAGGTTTTATGGGCTGAAGGGTGGGGGGAAGAAGCAGGAGCTCATGGACGCACTAACTGAATACTTTAGCGAGCACTAAGCAGGAGCAGAAGGCCCTGGTTGACTTCCGCCTGCTTAAAGTTTTGGTTGTCTTACGTGGATGCTGCCTGTTTAATCTTGCTGTGTAGGAGAAGGCGACTAAATGTTGCTGAATTCTGAATAGCAGTGGAGAAACTTTTTACTTTTAGTTGTGAAACACCTCTGCAAAGTTGGATTCTGTTCACAGTAGCCAAAGGCAGAATTAAATTCCCTGCTAACTCAGGTTACCCACTCTAAGTAAACACAGTTGTGCCTTCCTGGTTTCTTAATAAAAGTTATTTTGGATTTCTTACTTTGCAACACTGGCTATACTATCTTTGCATCATAAAGACAGCAAAACTCACTTCAATTTGAGTAAGAAAACAGAATGATCTGTGTTAATGGCACACACAAGAATTCAAGCAGCAGGTCAAATGTGTGTGCTAACAGAGGGTATAAATGTGGTGTATTACTCTCCTCCTTTCCAAAACAGCCAGTCAGTATCAGTGCTTGTAATCAATTGGGTTCTTTTCCATCATTGGCATTAGAAAGATTACCAGCAGATCATAAAGGAGAAAACAATTACTGGGAAGCAGTAGCCAATCCTTTGGGCAAAAAGCCAGCACTTCACAAAGCTGCACAGCCAACATCTCCCATTTTTAAACAGTAATAGCAAAAGCTGGTTTAAAAAAGGAGGGAAAAAAAAAAAAAAAAGTCATGTTCCCTGGAAGGCTGCGAGCGTTTACCCCAATTAAATTACTGAGATGGCATAGAGCTTTCCACCTCTGTAGCGAGTATGAGTCAGACTATTGTGCAGGCTTCTGTACTCAAGTCTGTGCTTTGAAAATAAAAAAATAGCAAGTTGTGGAGAGTAGCCCTTGTTACTTCCAGTATTTTCAATTTTTTAATCATACTTCTGGAGGCTGCATCTGGGGCTATGTTTTGGTTTTTAAACTTCCACGCCTGGCATGCCCCACTTGTCTTGCAGTGTAAGATGATTAAAGCCAATAGTCATTGCCCTGGCTCTAGAAAACAGTACCAGTTGTTTAGCTAAACTGTAACTTTCTACAGGATGCAAACACAGGATACACGAGGTATCCGTTTTGGTCTGCATGGTGTTTTTAGGGATTCCTGTTTGGCACACAAACCATTGGGCAACTTACTAAAGAATTAGGTCATATATTAAGGTTGTGCCCGTGCTGTAGCGTGGTATGCATATCGGAGCCAGCCGTGACCGCTCTCTTGGCACTGCGAGCACCCTACCTGTGCCAGCACGCTGCTCACTTCCACCTCCACAGCTCCTCTCCTTCAGTATTGAAGCTACGTAGTCTATTATACTTCCAATCAGCCTGCATTATAGTAGTTATTTTTAATAAAGATTTGTCTAAGCTATCAATTTGTTTTGCCCTTTGGCAAAGAAGTTACTGTAAATGCTTGTCTTAGCAAGACTTGAATGCAATAAAATAGTGAGACTACCCTGTCCTTAATTTTGTGAATTTTCGTTCCCCAAATGCCCTTGTTAACGTCTCTCTTGGCTTGCTAACCCCCAGGCACAACACGTTTCAGGCTTTGGATGATTATGGCATGTTTTGTCTAGGTTATTAGATCTTCCTCCTGGCTGCTTTTATTATTTTTTTTTTAAAGCAGGCTATTGCATTAAGCAGAAGTTCAACAAGGACGGTGATGGAAGGCTTCAGAGCAGAAAATTAAGACAATTTTGCTTGCTCAAGAATCCTTTATTTCTGCTCCTTATGTGCTTTGTCTTACATCAGCTGTCTTGGCATGGTACAATAGGGCAAGTCCTTTGCAAAGCTGTGGTTTTAAACACAACTAGCTCAACAGTCAGCATCAGTAGAAGGGAACAGCAGCGTTTTTAAACTTCATACAAATGAAAGGACTCTCAAATCTTTGTATTAAGTTCACCTCAGCAAGGATGTTAGTTATCAGCCATTTACAAAAATATAGACATGATTTGTCTTCCTGAGCTGATTTCATCTGCTCGGGATGTTCTTACTTACTAAAGGTATGAAGTTAGTGCCTCTGTGGAAACGTTACAAGAGAACTTATTTTCCCTTCTGCTGTTATACCTATGGGTCTTTCCATGCTAGCTTTGCTTTGGCATTCTGCAATAGCAGACAGGTTTGATATGACCCATTCCAACACAGAGGTTTAGACTCCTCTGCTCAGAGCAGGAAGTGGATTTATTATACAAGATGCATTTAACTAAAGCTAGCTCCATAAAACCACCACTAAGCCAAACGCTGGTCGTGCTTGACGCTTTCCCAGAATGCTGGTGGTGTTTCACGCTTTTCCAGAACATGAGATTATCTAATATTGTCTTCTTGAGACACAAGTTGTTTTATCTGAAAAATCACTTGCTCTCTGTTGCCTTGGCTAGGACTTAAAGGATTTATCTTCAATCAGGTGACTACAGTACAGCAGCTTCCCTAAAGCACGAGATAGGTAGGGTACTGGTCAGCCACAGCAGGCTGCTCTTTACCATGTGTTTTGTACTTAAATACCGTAGGAAGCCCAGGCAGTCCACGCAAAGAAAACTGAAGGAGGATGAACTACCACGCTGCAATAGCCTTTAGGCAATCTCTGAGCGGTTTAGCTTTACAAGTAGGAACACTTCAGCAAATGCTTCCCCAAGGGAATGACAACTGTATTTAGCTTTGTCAGCAATTTTATTTTTCTTAAAAAGTCAGTATTTAAAAATGAGTGAGATAAGAGATTTCCCCTTGTGCACTGCCTTAAGATTTCTGCTCCCCGTACACCTCTTACAGAAGTCTCATCTGGTTTCAAGAAGAAAAAGGGTTGTGCTACATGTACTGATCTTGGCTCCGTCCACTGCTACACAGCGGCCACTGCCTGCCTTACGCATGGCCTCGCTGCTCCATCACTTAACGGAACAACTCCATCAGTCTGCACGCACACGCGGTGCGGGGAGCCGACACGCCTTATCCTCAGCAGACCAAACCATTCAGAAACACGGAGTTACTCGCATCTGCCAGAGGCTGAAGCTTAGCAGAAATACTGCAATGCAGAGTAAGCTAATGGGTGGGTTAAAAATGCCCTGAGCAGGCAGACATGGAGGTAAGGTGGGGATTTTTTTTTCTCCTTTCTTTCTTTTAAACATCAAACAGGAAATACAGTTGTACAATCACTTTTCAAGAAGTAATACAATAAGAATGAATGGGCTGGAGTAGAAAAACAGGAAAAAAAGGGGGGAGGAGAGGCAGAAACACTGAAAATTGAACCATGATTAAACAAAAACGTGGTGTTTTGAAATGAAACACTGATACCAAAACTATAATCTCAACTGAAGCTAGACATTAATTCCCCCTGACTTCAACTTTCCTATTCCACACACACATAAACTCATGGGCATTTAGACCAACAGTCTTTCTATAGCTTGCTGGACAGACTGGATCTGAGGCTTTAGCTGCGATCCCTCCTTGATGGTGATGGAGCAGGCGATGACGGGCCGGGAAACGCCACACGCCCGGCCCAGGGCTTGCTTGGAGCGCACAAACACGTACGGTACGTTCTTGTCCTCGCAGAGAAGAGGGAGGTGCAGGATGATCTCCAAGGGCTCCGCATCTGCCGCCATCACGATGAATTCCGCTATCCCTCGGTTCAGCGTTTTGGTGGCTGTAAAGGAAACTGAAGAGTAAGTCTGGGTCCTTTTGGAAAGCACATCTAATGAAAAACACGATTAGGAGACGTTGAAACCGGCATTAGCAAGAAGGAGATGTAGTGGTGGCACGAGGACAGGCCAAAGGGAAGCAGCAGCTACCGGGCCGGGGAGAGGGTTACTCACAGGGCGGCCCCTGGGGTGCCGGGCGCAGCGGAGATTCGCAAGGGAGCGAGGCCAGCCCAGGGCTGCTGGCGGGCGAGGGGAGACTGGGGGAGCTGGGTTTGCTTAGCCTGCAGAAGAAAGGGCCAAGGTGGGAGTGGAGGGGGCGCGGCTGCTGTCATCTACCACTTCAAGGGGACTGCGGAGAAGACGGAGCCAGACTGTCCTCATGAGTGCGCGGCGAAAGGGACAAGTTGCAGACTTGCCTCAAGGAGATTCTGGGGACATGCTGGAATTTTATATTTCCCCCCCTGCCCTTATAAGAAGAGTTTAAGCCATAGGACAAAGGTCCTGAGAGGTTGTGGAGTTGCTAATCTTAGGGATTGTTTTTTTTAAAGTCTGACTAGGCAAAGCCCTAAGCAACGTGATCCAGCTGTGAAGGGAGCCACTCTCCGAGCAGGCTGCACTAGAGACCTCCAGAGGTCCCCTCAAAGCTAAATCATTTACGATTCTAAACTGGCGAGGCATCTGGTAATCCCAGCGCCACACTACTGAAGCATGCACCATCGCAGGACACGCACCAGGAACAGAGCTGGGCATCTACCAGAATTGTACATAAATGTTGAAAAGATTACAGCTTAGTTCTGTCCCTGAATATTGCTTAAGCAGGCTAGGAGGAGGAGGAAGGAGAGAGACACTCACGATATCCGGATCTATGTAACTTTAACGGCCCACCGCTAGAGAGAAGAGACAACCTCTGGCCGCAGCTTCTCACAAAATCCTTGCTGTGATTTCTAGCACCCTTCGCAACACACAGGTCTCACCTTCGTTGGCTCCCTTGCGTAGCTGCTTATAGTTGCAGGACTGCTGCACAAGATCCAGTAGCGTTTTGGTGAGCTGCGCATCAGCCAGGGGGTAAGCTTTGGGATTCACCTCTGCCTCACTCTAGAGAAAGGAAAAAGCAAAGAGTATTACAACAGGAGCAAAGGGGGCTCTGTTCTGAACGACGCCACATAGGCACCGTGTCCACCACACGTACTGACTGCTGGAGTCGCCTCACCGTTCTCAGTTGCTCTGCCCATTCACTAAAAATCCCACTGCATTTTATTTATAAAAAGGGATTCTTCTCATCTTCAGAGCAGACGGTATCTCTGCTCGCAGAGGCAGCCAACCTGGGTCCTACAGACCAGCAGCGGTGAACTGACAGGGCGGCCGTCAGGCATTCGCCACCACGGATGCTGTACAAAACCAAGTGTTTCAGCGCACGAGCTCCTGCCAGCAGCACGTGGACGAGCTCAGGCATGAATTTGAAAGGAATCCCGAGAAGAGCACCCATCAGGTTTACTTCTCCAAACTACAAGCAGCTTCCAAACGTTAACGGCAACAGCGTAACGAACAGCAACGAAGTCACAAGCGGCGCTAACGACCGGCGCCGGCAGAAGGGCGGCCCC